TGTAGCAAAAGTTCCTGCAGCCCTGCCTGTGACACTTGTCACCGGACCAACCACAAAATGATGAGAATTGCCTACGGGAATGAAAATCATTCACAGCTCAAGCCAGCTATTCTGCTCTAAACTGCATCCCTTACTACTAAACCTCGCTGTGCCTTAGCCTCTTCATCTCCAGAGCGTGATTTCGGAGCTAGAGCTGTGATCCCAGATACTCAGGAGGCTGAGGCAGCACTGCAAGGCAAGCCCACCGTGCAGCTCAGTGAGACCACAACACGAAGTATGCAAGGAGCTGGGGACGTGGCTTGGTGGTACAGCACCCTCCCTGGGTTGTCCCCAAAACAAACGAGATTTCCTCTTCCCTAATCTCACAGAGCCTCTGAATACAAAATTTCCCTTTTATTCCACAAATGATTCATTGTCTATGATGTGCAAGGTGCAGTGCACTTGGGACATGAAGTAAACTGAAGTCCCTACTTCACAGGACTTCTATTGTCATAAGGGAGGTAGACAAAAAAGTACTCTAAAAATAGGAGATTTCCACAAAAACTTAGAGAATAGAAGGAATACAACGGAAGTGATGTTTGTGTAAATGGTTAAAGAAAAGCTGAGAGGGGACAGGAAAGAGGGGAGAAAAGAAGAATCAAGCTATATTATGTACAGGTACAAGTGTGTGATTAATGTGACCAACACGTATGACAACTATGTACAGACAAGAAATAGAGTTGAGCCAGAAATGTAGCTCAAGGGACTGGGGAGATGGCTCAGTGGAGTAAGCGCTTCCCTGGCAAGTGCAGAGGCCTGAGTTCAATCCCCAGTTCCGAAAAAAAAAAACTTTTTTTATTTTAATAAACTTGAATCAGAACTAATGAACAGAAATCTCCTAAAGCAGCCCATAAAATTAAATGCTAAATGAAAAATGGTAATAGGCATGTATATGTACAACATTTTGCACAAATTCAAAGGTAAAAATTCCATTTGGTTAAACACATCAACTACCGAAGAGATTAATTTATAGGTGGAGGATCCCACAGAACTCCCTTCCATAGTAACCCCATCTTACATAGTCATTACTAGCTTTCAGATATGTGGCTGTCAGGAAAACCATGAAGAGCTTAGTAATCCATGTTTCCCACTGACAGTCCTGGGAGCTGGGTGGATTTGGGGAGGAGCATTCTCTTTCTAAAACCCCTGCCCACTAGGCCACCATCAGAGGTAGCACTGCCTGCTGGAGCTTTGTGGGCTTGGTTTTAGCCATGATTTCAGGAAATCACCACCATTCCCAACACACACACACACACACACACACACATAATCTGGAATACCATATGCCCTAGTCATCTTCCAGAACCAAGGAAGGGGACAGCAGGGCCTTGTGGGGTCGACCATGCAGGACTCTCCACCAGACTCCAGGGAGACCAACTGCCCAGCTAAACATTCCACCATCTATGATGTCACCGCCCCACCCCTACCACCCTCCAGTTCTGCTTTTCAGCCAATCCTCCTCACCACCATCTACTTGGCAAAGAGCTTGGTGCGGTGGTGTGAGGCTAAGACAGGACTGGAAGTTTGAGGCCAGCCTTGTTACACAAGCTCAAGTCTACCATGGACTGCACTAACAGACTCTGACTCAAAAACAATAAAAAACATCCCTTTGCCCAAGCATACCTTGGTTGCCTGTCCCTATTCCTGACCTCACGGCTTCTTTCTATATACCTTAATATCAAAATCTCGCTCCTTTACCTTAATACCAAAATCTTGCTCCTTCTTTACCACCCCGCCCCCACCCTTTTAAAGGCCTAATTAAATTCATTCTATGCAGGGGTCCACTTCTGCTGACTCATCCTCAAAATAGCTGGGAACGTACTTGTTAATTTGAAAACCTGTGACTTTAGAAACTACCACTACACACAACATAGATGTGTCTCACAGACATAATATTGAGTGATGGAAACCTGGCACAGTGTGTTCATGTCGTATGATTCTATTTATGTGAAGCTTCAGAACAGACAAAACTAATCTCTGGTAATAGAATATGGGTTACCAGGGGCAGAAAACATCCTATACTCTTACCTGGGTGGCAGCTACAGAGATGTATACAAATATAAAAATTCTGAGCAGTTAGCATATGCTTTGCACACCTTATTACAAATACAATAAGCTTAAACTATTTTTAAATGATTTCCCTTTTGACTGTGCTGAAACACTGTTACAGGTGAACTCTTTTGAAGAGCTGTTTGGGGTCCTTCCACATTCCAGGGCACTGATTTCTTACCTGCCTGACACATCTGGCACCTTCTACAGCCTGTGCAGGTTCTCGCTTTCATCTTCCCTCCACTGGAAATCTACTGAGCCTGCACTGTGATCAGTTCTATCGTCAGCTTTAAAGCAAGCAGGACACACATATGCCTGCCCGGGCCAGTCATAAAAACATTTCTTTTGTTTACTCTATGGCCTGCAAGTATCAATGGACTGGGAAAACCTTCAAACACACCTCTTAATAGGAGTCCAATAAACGTCAGATGAGAGCAGACTGCCTGAAACAAACGAAATCCTCTCCGGAAGCCATTTAGAAGATCAGCAACTTCCTGCACTCCAGGAGAAAGCTTTGGAAACAGGGTATGGTGAGCCAGTATCTTCCGGAGCAAACCCTGTAGCTTGAGGAAGTCACTTAGCCGACCTCTGCAGGTGTCAGTCCATGCTAGTAAAATGACCTGTCTTATCTTCTGCTTATTCTGGGGGAAGGGAATCAAATAATGTGAGACAGAACACAGTGGTAACTGTGATATCGAGAGAACATCTGTCTGTCTGTCTGTCTGTCTGTCTGTCTGTCTGTCTGTCTGTCTCCCTATGCAGCCCACGCCAGCCTCAAATTCATCATAATCTTGCCTCAGGCTCTTGGGTTCCAAGATAATAAGCATGTACCACTAAACCTGGCACCAATGGAACACTTCTAAAAATAACATAGATGTTTGTGGAATGCTCATGTTTCAAGAACTTCCACGTATGCCAAACCATTTAATCTTCAAAATAAGTCAGTGTGGTGGCTCCACCTCCCCAGGGAAGTAACTTGGAAGAAGGCAGTTGAGCAACTGCAGAAGGCGCCCAGGAGGGACTGGGAGAAAGTTGTTTGTTTGTTTTTTTAAATTGTATTTAGTATAGGGTCTCACTACACAACTCCGACTCGTAGTGATCTTCTGGTTTCACCTCCCCTGCACCTGGACTACAGGCGTGCGCCACCATACCCTGTCTTGGTGGTTGACTCAGCGCACCTGGGGGTGGGGCCGGTGCAGTAAGTGGTGCTGGGGATCAAACCCAGGTATGTGTGCTTGCCAGGCAGGAACTTAGTCCGCTGAGCTATCTCACTGGCCCAGGCCTATTCTTTTAAGTCCCATTTGAACCATGATGCTCTCAGAATGAGGAACTGCTGACCGTCCTCCCTAAATGGCTGCCTTTCTCCCAGGAATTGACCCAGAAGCTACCAGGTCCCAGAAGTTCAGTCTTCAGGTTTTTCCCGAGAAACACGTATGCCCCATTCCAAGTCCTTCATTGCGGCCCTGACAAGTCAGATCCCATGGATGTATCTGCCAATATGGATTGGCAACTCTGTTCAAGTCTGCCCGATGGGTGAGAAAAGCAAAAAAAAAAAAAAAAAAGCCAGGCAAGGTGGCACAGGTCTGTAACTCCAGCACGGTTGGTGAGGCAGGACTGCCGAGAGTTCAAGGCCAGCTGAGCTACACATCAAGACCCTGTTCAG